TAATATTTTTCAATTTAAACAAAAATAGAGCTATGAAAATAATGAAACACATAAATTTAATATACATATATATTTTATATATTTATATATGTATGTTTGTGCATGTGTATGGTCACAGTAGGGAACAGATTATTATGAGAGAACAACGTAGGCTTTAAGGAATGGATTTCTTGCTTTACCCTCACTATTTCTTAAATGGGAAAGAATAAAAGAGAAAGAGATAAAGCTTATTTAAAGGCCTCATTTTCCATGAAATGTTGGGATACATTTAAAATTGAGAACACCCTAGAAACATTGTACTGGTTTTTGCTGGATGAGACTGAATTTCTGAAGACTAAAGTACAAACACAGTATAGGCATGCTGTCATTGAACACACTGCACTGAATCTATACAATTGAATAATAAAAAAGTATTTCTTATATATAAAATGTTTCCCAGGTACCAAAACATCAAATAAAAATCCCACCCCTCCTGCTGTGTCCCTACGTATGTATATTACATACTGTCTTGGGGAATGTGGCACAGAGCTTGTCTCAGGGGCAATGTTTTCTGGTTTATGGGGCCAGAAGCAAGGAACCAGCATCCCCCCTTGCTGAGGGAGGCGTGGCTTCCTGTAGCACCATGCTGCTGGTAGGTGTAACACCCAGCCTGTTCTGGTGGACACGTGCTCATTGACAGCCTTAGCCATGGTCACTGGGAGCCTCACTCGAATTGTAGATTTACTGTCATTCACTCTGGAAGCCAGTGTGCATTCTCCTGAAGTCTGCTTATCCCTTTTGTTCTCTTTTTGGCAGGTCTGATATGTTACTATGATCAAAAAATGCTAATTTGACAAGTGCTGGAAACAGCACTATTTCTCCTAAAGAAGATCTTTCTGCTGCTACTTAGAAATGATGTAAAGTATTAGAAATGTGAGTCACTTATAAATATTTAGTCCTTAGCCCATAGCAAAGTAGAGAGATGTTGGACTAGAGCAGTGGTTCTCAACCTTCCTAATGCTGCGATCCTTTAATGCAATTCCTCATGTTGTGGTGACCTCCAACCATAAAATTATTTTCGTTGCTATTTCATAACTGTAATTTTGCTACTGTTATGAAATGCAATGTAAATATCTGATATGCAGGATGTATTTAGGCGACCTCTGTGAAAGGGTCATTCGATCCCCAACGGGGTCGCGACCCGCAGGTTGAGAACCGCTGGACTAGAGTATCAAACAGAGCACTTCATAATTTGTGTGCATAGAAAAACCAGGAAGAAAATTGGATGCCCGTTTTCCAACATTGTTTCTACTATTTCTCATTAGCATAAAATTGGTCACATGTTTTGAACAAATGCATTCCACAGCAGTCACTGGCAAATTAGGCTAACATAGGCTTTCTGAGCAACATTCATAGCAGAAGATGATTCAGAGTAAAAATAAGGACTGACTTTCATTTTCCAGTTAATAACAAATACTCAACTTAGTTAATTACAAACCTGCTTACATAATAAAGACGAGGAAAGTGAAGCATAATCAAAGGTGTCTTGTAGAAAGACGTGTTTCTTTGTGGGCCCCTGAGCTCAAAGGACAAGGTACTGATGGCTCCAGGTGTTTGCCATGTTAGATCAGCTCTGCAAGTCTTGACGCTCTCAGCACTTGTCTGCTGGTGCCCCAAATAAGCATTTTGAGCTTGGACCTTTTTCAAAGGAGAGTTTCATATCCCAAAAGGAGAGAAATGACCACTGAATATAACCTTAATAGTTATTCTTTATGGAAGAGTTTGTCTTGACTATCAATTAGGAAGTACCTATATCTCTAACTTCACATGAGGCTGCCAGTGGGTGTGCCTGATGGTCATGTTCTTCTGAATGCACCAGGGTGTTTACAATCACACAGTACATGGTTCTTCTTTGAAAAATAATGGGTTGGACCAGGACTTATGTTTGACTGACAATCTTTTCAGAGTAAATAATATATTAACAACCACAGTGAGTCACAGAGCATATAACCTCCTAAATAGATAAATTATGTCTGACTCCTTCAGATAAGCGACAAGGAACGTTTCAGTGAAAAAACCCAAGAATGAGGTTGACAGCAACAAACTTGTGAGTCCTTCTAGTTAACGTTTATAGTTATAACAAATTGCAACACAATAACATATTTTATATGTACCTTAAGAGGGTTTTATATACCTGCTAAGACTATTTTTCCAATTCTTTTCCCAAAGATATCATAATTTTAAAATGAGAACATAGATGATCTAGAAATAAAAATATATAATCACCTTTTAAGAGGCTTACATTACCTATAAATTAAAAAACAACAAAACTATAATGGGACAACTGATGAGTACCACGAACCCTTTGTTGCATATAAAATGCATCTCTACCAAAATGTTTTCAACATTTGAGACCTTGAATTTTCACAAAACAGTGCTGAAAAACATCCTGTTCTTTCTTTCCCTTGTGTGGCATTGTGTCTATTATTAAAGAATGTTCTCAAAGAGCAATTTGCAAAGTATTTTCAACAGAAACAACTTAACTTCAAATAAGAGTTGTATATGTTCAATGTCTGACTCTGAAATAGTTACATTTCTCTTCAATGGAAAAAGAAAATTTTAAATAAGGTTTCCCCAACTGCAGTAAAAGAAATCTTTTATATACTTTCAAATACTGTGCCTTTTTATTTAAAACAGTGTAAACATAACAACACCACCAATAACTGGAAAAAGACTGGTTATGTGAACACTAATTTTCTTGAATGCCCCCATCAAAATAAGGGTAAATAAAACAGACAAATCTCCAGGAGGAGTCCCCGCTCACCTCAGCAGTGGTAAAAATATTGCTTTATTCCAAAGGAACATACAATACAATTTACTGTTCTTTTGAGGGCTTCCTGTGAACTGAATACTCGCCTTTGTGATTTCAACAATTTATTCTTTTCATATTAACCACAGAAGCCAATATCTTGGTCCACAAGTTGTAGACTAACTACAAAATAAATACTAATGAGGCTCATGAAAAAGCAAAGGATAACTGTCAATTTGGTCATCGGCTTGTGTGAATAATTTAAGTACGCATGATTCAAAATAAACACACACATTCAACTCTCCTGTGATACAGATATCATCAATGAACCTACATTGTTCCTCTCAGAAATATTCACATCAGAAAATGGTCTAGACATTGTCAACAGTTTTATAGGACCCCACCATGCAAGTGACTTTGATGTAAGAACTTACCAACTGAACTTTATACTTAATGGAAAAATTTAAAGTGAACAGATCTAAGAGGGAAATTTTTTTTTAATATTAGATTCCCTGATGTTTCAGAACAAATTTTAGCAAGCTTAATACACACACACACATGCACACACATACAATGAACACATGTGCATACAGCATACCAGTGCTCGAGGGAGCAAACACACGCACACGCACACACACACACAGTCTCTCTCTCACACACACAGGCACACACACACAGGCACACACATACACTGAGAAATGCTCCTTTGGCATCCTAAACGATCTCAAAGAAAAACATTTCTATCAGCATGACTTTAGTGACATGACACTGATTTTTTTGTCCTTTTTTATATGTTGATTTCATATCTTGCTCTGAGCTTCTGCACCTTCAAATTTCAGAGGAAGATGGCACGAAAGAGCAGCTGAGTTTGCCCCCAATGGCTCCCTCTATCTCTGTCCTCCTTCTCCTTCCCAGGCCTGTGCCATTCTCAAAATGAAATAGAAAACACTACATTGGTTGACATGACATAACCTGTGATGAGGCTGTCGAGTGAAGAGAAATTTAGGGGTTGGGACTGCCAAGCCAAACGGCAAGGGCTGTCTGTGCACAGGCACACCCGCCCTCGGGGGCAGCTTGTCTCTGAAACCAGGCACCTGCCGGTGCTTTTGGACGAGGACACTGCTGTGGGGCTGAGGGTCTGAATCGCCCGCATCTACCAAGAGCCAAAGAGGATCATGTTGGGACTAACTGAAATTGTATTCAGAATTCCACCCGAAAGCTTTAGTTGTAAGCTTTATCCCTCCTGAAACGTTTCTTTCCCTTTAAAAAAATATTTTGTTAAAAAACACTATGATATGAGGGCGATAGACTATTTGGTTTCTTCTAAGTAGATGCTCTTAAATTAATGCATATAAATAATTTGTATTTAATTTCCTCTCTTTCCTGTTGAGCAAAGCATAGAATGCACAGATTCCTACGTCTCAAGTCACTTGGTCAACGCAGGGTCTCTTTGTATTTCATTTCTTAGGATAAATTGTGCCTCTCGTTCCGATTTGGCCATGGGACTCAGGGGGAGAAAGGCGGTGTTTTCACTCGCACTGTCCTCAGCTTCTACACTGGCTAGTTCGTAGTCTTCTGACCTCCTGGCATCAGTCAGAATTCGGATCTGCTCCTGGACAGTTTCTAGCAGTATTTTCACTTCTTGTTGTTCTGCTAAAAGACAATCGCTGACTGGAATACTCACATTGACAACATCAGCAGAGTAGGAGTTTTTGCACCATTTGATGCTTTTGACGTCAGAAATCCCTGGCATTTGGATGCAGGTTTCCTCTAGCCCCACTGAAGGGATGATGGGCACCGAACTGGCCCTTGGGGATGAATATCCCAGCAGGTCCTTTTGATCCAAGCTATTAAAATAGGAGTTTGTCTCTCTCGAAGGCAGTTGCATATGGACTGATGCATCCTGTTGGGTGTTTAAACCGGCGGATGAATACCTGAAAAGAAAGAGAGTATTAGACAGCCTGCCTTCTGCCGGCGCTTCTTCAGAGCACTCGCCAGCCAGCAAAGCACTTGCCACATGCACCACCTCACTGACTTCTCACAGCAACCCCATCAGACGCAGAATATGTTCCCAGATAAACAGAGAAGGAAACTGAAGCTCAGAGAGGTGCAGTGACTTGCCCAAGGTCACACAGAAAATAAGTGACAGACTGAGACTCAAACCCAGATCTTCTTACTTTAAGTCCAGGGATCTTTCAACACACCACAGCTGTATAGGCAGGTGGGATATAGTCTTCCTGACCTCTATCCTAGAATACAAAGTAAATGGGGATTGAGCAGGTAAGTGTGGCCTTTCCATAGTGACAAACAGGAAACCCATAACGGCATTACTCCACTCCATCAACTCGACCACCCTCTCAGCCCTGGTTTGGTACTCATGTGGCCATCCTACTTCGAGAAACCGGGAAGCCCCACGTTAAGCATTAAGGTACTAGAGTCCACAGTCTTTCTGCTTCACAACTTTGGGGGAACGAACGCCATTTCTGTCGGCACTCTGCCCTGTGGGCATTGCCTCACTACAAACTGCTGAGCCTAAAGGGGCGTGGGAGGCACATGATTCTTCTCTCTGTCCAAACACAAGCATGAAGTGAGCTCCGTAAGGCCTCTACCAATCTAGCAACTTCCCATATGTGGTTTCTGCAGCCAAGTAAGGTAGCTCATCGGTGTATGTCAATGGCTTGTCAAGAATGCCAGCATGCTATTCAAGTCATTTGAAGATTCCAGAATCTGATTAGGCCCTTTCTTGGCCTGTTCAGAGCTAGTGAATTTCCCAGTGCCTCTGAGCTTCCCAGTGCCACAGTGTGGGTCAACTAGTCATAGATTCAAAGAAATGTGGTTTGGGGACTTGAACAGTTTTTACTCTATTTCTGTTATTTATCCCTAATTTAAACATTAAATTAAACATTAAAATGTAAGTGTAATCTAAACATACCTACCCTCCATATGATACCTAGCATTCCCCTAGTCTTACATTATAATATAAATAAAAGTCATGTTTATACAAGGAAAGAGTAATTGCGATGAAGTGTGTAGCATACTGAATAGAAATCGTTATTTAAGGGCATGATGGGAGTAATTTAGAGGTCTTTATTTCTAGCAGATGGTGAGAAAAGATGGGGAGCAAATTTAGGTGTCTTTATAGTCCCATCCTCTTTTACTGTGCCTAGTACAGAGTGGGTAACCAATAAATCTTGATGGAACAGGCATGTGAGAACATAGCATACCTTAGAGATAAACACTTTATTCCCCAATCAGCATCTATTTCAAACATAATAACAAGAGCTAACATTTACATAGTGATTTTAATTTTTAAAGATATTTTTAGTTAATTTCAGAGAGGAAGGGAGTGGGAGGTAAAAATATTAATGATGAGAAAGAATCATTGATTGGGCTGCTTCCTGCACACCCTTACTGGGGATGGAGCCCACAACCCAGACCTGTACCCTGACCAGGAATAGAGCCGTGACATCCTGGTTCATGGATGACACTCAACCACTGAGCCATGCTGGTCAGGCTGCATAGTGTTTTTAAAAAGTACTTTCACCTTTAATTGCTTCACTATTTTTACAACTGTGGTTTACTTATTATTATTACCATGTTATTAAAGAAGAAACTGGACTAAGGGGTACTCAAATGACTTGCCACAAGTTACCTTTCATAAGCAGAAGAGGAAGAAGTTAAACCCAAGTTGTCTTATTTTAATTGTTACTATGAAAGCCAGAAGGTGCACTAGAACACTTTTCAAAGGATGCATAATCTCTACCTGTGTAAACTGTATAGCCACCCCGCAAAAGGAAATTTTCCAGGGATTTTGGTCCATTTGCTTTGGTGTTTTAGAACTGAAATGGAACAAATTAGAGAGTTTTGTGTTTGTCCTGAATATCATCCAGTTAACACCATTAATATCTATGAAGATATAGGATCTCTACTATCAGATTCACTAAACTCACAGAGACAAAAAATGTAATTAGGATAAAATTGTATTTCTCATAGATATCATGAGAGTGTATCAGTGGGTAGAATTTAATAGGTTTGAAATGTGATGATCATAGATGCAAATTCTTATACCAGGATCTAAACATTATTTGCAAAAATCTCTATATATAAAAGCCTAAGTGACTGGCTAACCGGCCAGCCAGCCAGCCTATGATGTGCAATGACCACCAGGAGCAGACGCTCAACACATAGGCATGGAAACATGGAATAGACTGATGAATCTCAGAGGTAAGGGAGGAATGGGGTGGGGGGGGCAGGAAGAGATTAACCAAAAATCTTATATGCATACTAGAGGCCTGGTGCACCGATTCATGCCCTGGTGGGGTCCCTTGGCTTGGCCTGCAGGGATCAGGTCGAAACCAGCTCTCCAACATCCTGTGAGGGGTCACGAATTGTGACAGGGCACAGGCCAGGCTGAGGGACCCCACCAGTGCATGAATCTGTGAACTGGGCCTCTAGTATTAGATAAATGTATAAATGTCTTAGAGGATTTAGACAATCATAGCTTTAATAAGTTAACAATGTGGCCTGATGAAGAAGTGATCAAAGGCAATTCAAGCCAAACTTGAAGCAGTCTTATAACAAGCCTGACTGTGAATTAAGGGTGTAGATGAGAAAGGAATTTCAGCTGACCTATAGGTCACCTCACAAGTCAGTTAAGGGACATGGGACACACAGCTGCCAATAACTGCAATCTAAAATGTTACCATAACATGAAGATGTGAACTCTCCCAAATGTGCTTTTGTTTTGGATCAGACATGACTTCAAGCGCCAACACCATTTTTAGATGAATTGCAGCCTCCTTTTAATTTTCTCCTCAATTAAAACAATCAGGTGGTGACAGTGCTCTTGGGGATTGCTCTGAGAACTAACTGAAGTAACGCATCTGCACTATTCCCCAGAGGATGCTGGTAACCCCCACTTCCCTCCTAGAGTCTGTGAGGCCAGCACTGGTATTGAGGAGAAGCAGACTACTCTTCTCCACGAGTTTAAGTGTGAGCACAACTTCTAGATGTGATCTGGGTTAGAAGACAGGCAGCAGTCTGAATCCCTGACAATCAATCATTCGTTCACAATTTTGATCTATGAGCTTGTCATTCATTGTCTGTAAAATGCCAATTTGGACTGTTGGTCCTCTGATCTCTCAACAAAGAAATAACCAGTGCATTTCCTCAGTAACTAAGGAAAGGTGAAATATTGGCAGGCCGATGAGGCTCAGTGGTTGAGTGTTGACCCATGAATTGGGAGGTTATATGCAGCAAACAGTCAGTATACTTCGTATCCCTTCTACTTGTAAGGTGGCAGTCTAGCTTTTGTGACTCCATTTCTTTCTATCTAGCATATGAATATATTAGTTTGGTTTTCCTGATATAACACAGCTCAGAGCTCTGGGACCGTGGCTGTCTCTGACCCCACTAATCAGAAAAAAGGTTCCTGAATAGTTACCAGTTCACACCTTCCTCCGGCTTCACTGAGATAACTACTGGTTCAAACTGGGCTGAAGTCAGTGACACGGAGAGAAGTCCTACCACCGGGGCCTACCTAGCAGACAGCGTCCACATGCGTGATAAACAAGCAGCAGATGGCTGATGGCTCTTGCAAATTCAATCACTGCCCCTCCAGGCTAGGGCCAGATTTGAAGAGGGCCTTTAACTGTGAAATTCTATTACCGATCCTATTTCCAGTCCAGAGAGATGGAAAGTCCCCCAGGAGTGGAAAATAGCTGTTTTCAAGAACTGAGAATGAGATTGCTCCCTGAGATTCATTGTGCTGAGCACACCGTGACTTATACTTGGAGTCACCATTTATCAACACTGGGTGCATATCACACACAGGAAAATACACGTGGCCAGCCAGCTGGAGAGAATATTCCAACCCCGATGATGATTGAACCAAAACAAAACCACCACCATGCAGACAGAAAGTGGAAGTCTCCCAGGAGGTAAAAGACAAAGCAGGGCACCTCTGAACATGTGATGGGCACCTCTGAGCCTCTGAAAGTTCATGTATGTGTGGTTGAAGCCTGTGCCCAGAGCAGCTCAGAGCATCCTTACACCTGGACATATGGAATGACAGCCAAAACATGCCCGTCAGAAAGAAACACGGCATGGGCTGGGCCCCCTCTGCAGTCACAAAGTAAACTATTCCTAGGTAACGGGCAATACCAGTGATTTAAGAAGGGAAATAATTATGAAATCTGATTAGTTGTCATTGTAGGCTAAATACAAGCCCCCTTTCCAAATATAAGGCAAAGAGAAGGCCAGCTACTTCTTGACTTGCATTATATCAGACATTTTGGATAACTTGGCTGTTATGTTGAATTTGCAGATCTGTACCAACTCCATTTTGCACTACATTCGGAATTGCTTCAAAATTACAAAACCCAGCCACAGGCTATTTAATTCTTGTCTCCTGGTCTTCCTAAAGCAATCTGTTGCTGAGCTTTGTCAGACAGAGTAGAAATGCACATATATCTTATCCAGAAGAAAAGACAAGGGTAAGGCTCTGTGATGGACTCCCTACTTGCTTAGGCCTCCAGCTTGATACAGTGTGGGAACATCGCCTAGGGCAAAGCAGCAGAGAAACCTGGCCTGGCTCATCCAGAGAGAGAAAAGCTGGATGTGATAAGAACCTGGCTTGTGTGAGAGAACAGGTTCCTGAAATTTCTGTAGTAAACCCTGATTGCATTATTCTTGAAATCAATGATAATTTTATAACAGCTCCTGAGACAATACAAACCCGTACTACATCTCTGTTTGCCATGTGATAAGGTACAAGCTCTTTCCACACATAATTAAAAAAAAATCTACCCAACAACCTTGAGGAAGGCTGTATTATCTTTATTCAATTTATAGATGAAAAAAACTTAAGCTTAGATGATAAAACTATCTCAAATTCACACAAGATGTTAAGGGCCAAAGATTTGAACTTAAGTCATTTTAAGTAAGAGCTACCATGTTTGTTTGAATAGTCAATTAGATGAATGGGACTAAAGTTCATCCTCCATTCCATTCACCACACCTTGAGCCGTGTAAGCCACTCAGAAGAAGGACACCCTTTGCACTGCAAGGAGGAATAGCAGTTGTTGTGCTCGAGGCCCATATTTCCATCCCTGCACCGTGAATAAACCTAGAGATCTGAGTTCAGCAAATTGTACTTCGAAATCATGCTGTCAGTATTAACTGAGACACATTCAAGAATGCTCGATGGAAGTAGATAACATGATAACATATATATATATATATAATTATAGGCCCCGTGAACGACATTCGTGCACTGGGGGAGTTCCCTCAGCCTGGCCTGCACACTCTCAGAGTCCAGAACCCCTTGAGGGATGTCCGCCTGCTGCTGGGAGTGGGCCTAAGCTGGCAGTCAGACATTCCTGAGGGGTCCTTAATGCTACCGTGGAGGTGGGGTCCTTAATGCTACCTCCTGCCACCATCACTGTGCTCACCAGCTATGAGCCCAGCTTCTGGCTGAGTGGCACTCCCCCTGTGGGATTGCACTGACCACCAGGGGGCAGCTCCTGCATTGAGCATCTGCGCCTTGGTGGTCAGTGTGCATCATAGAGCCAGGTCTTTCTACTGTTGGGTCAATTTGCATATTAGGGTTTTATCATATAGGAGATGTATATGTATGTGTGTGTGTGTGTGTGTATGTGTGTGTATATATATACATATACATATATATATATATATCCTATATGATATATCTCATCCATATATGCTATAAGTTCTATAGGTTAATGTTTACAGTATTGTCCACAGTCATACTTATCAGAGAATTAAGTAGTTTTATTCAAACCTAAGGATAAAGAAACACTTTAGTCCTCCTAAGAAATCTTTAGTTTTTAAATTGAAGACAAATTCTAAGCTGTTTTAGTGACTATTTAATAACATAGTGCCTAGATATGTGTACATTTATTTCCTTGCTAATGTTATGTTTATTTTTGATTAAACACTTTCCTAATATATATTTCCATTGTACCTAACCTTTTAAGTTAGTTTACCTTTGTAGAACAAAGATGAAAGGAAGTATAAATAGCTAATTGGTGACAAAATCAATGAATAAAAAACCCCAATGAGCATAGCAACTCAACTTAAAGCTATAGCAATAATGACACCCTCCTTACATTTCATTGTTTTCAGACCTACCCTTGGCAAGGTATTGTATCCTGGTCGGGGATCCTTGATTCCTCAAGTTGCTGATACGCTGGCCCCACAATCCCGCCCAGCCTGCTTCGGGGTGAGGGGGGTGTCCTCCTGAAGGCGTTCCGGTGGAGCACACCACTCCTCTGTGCTGGACTGCAGCAGGAGGAGAGACTCCGGCTGCGGGAGAGAAAACCAGCACATCGGTCATAGCCATAACCTTTCAGGTGGCTGCCCAAACCCTTTAAACACTGCACTTGCACCCGAGAGCCTCAAAGTCCCTGTCCAGACTCCACCCATGACTGGAGTGTATCTGCCAGGAGGGATCAGAAGTTGCCAAATCCATTTATCCTTGCGAAGCCTGAGGCCAAGAGAAGTTCTTGTGTTTCTGGCTTTCTAAGGTGGAGCACAATGGGCTAAAATTGCTGCTTTCCAGCCAAATTAAGAGGTGGGTTTAAGGAATTCTGAAGCTCCCGATTCCCACCCACCCTCAGTATTCAAGCTACAGTGGCTGTCTGTCTAATAACAGTAAACGTGGCTTTCTTGTTAGGCACTGACAGGGACCAATCACAGGAAGCCCTGGAGGGACCTATGGGGAAATTTTCACTTGTGTTAGCGGGAGAATCAACAAACGTTATTATGATCGGCATTCTCTCCTTAACATTTGTGCTAAATTCGCAGTTCATTATCTCAAAATTCCATCAGTCTTGAGAAGCTAAATCATTTTCCGTTTTTAGTTTGCTTTTACTAAACATTTCATTCTGACTCATACGTCCAAATGCCAAAATAACTGTTTTTAGGTATCCCTAAAGGGCAACAGGTATAAATGAAATGTACTTTCGGTGAGATCCCTATACAGATCATGTGAAACAAAAGAATAAGATTCTTTCTAAAAATCAGTTGCTAATTTGACACACTACCTGTTGCACATCCATCCACATCTCTACCCCTCTGAACTTCACATACTGAATGGGAGCAGTGCAGAGAACTGGCTCCTGTGTACACATTCCTAAGATGACAGTTTGTGATTAAATCACATAAAACTATGCAGAAAAAATTAAACACATTTTCAAAATTTCAATAAACCTATCAGGTTTTAAACAGACCAGTCCCCCAAAGGAGTTTACCCATATCACTTTATTATTTGAAGTTCTGTATGTGTCAGAGGTTGAATATTGCTGTTATTTCTACTGAACAAAACAACTTCTCAAATATTATTTAAGGCCAGAGTTTGAGAACCAAGATGACTGATCAAACTTCATATTCTCAACCCAACATGGACTTCCTGAGTTAGTACCAACACCAGATTATGCCTGGCAACATTAGTACAACTTAATTCTTTCTCATAATATTTCTTGCATGTCGAGTCCCAAGATGCCTAATATCAAGGGGCCTCACTAAGTTAACAAGTCTATGAAGCTCTGTATCAGCTCATGCCTTTCCCTCCCTTCAGCTTCTATCTGCACCATCCAGCAGCAGTTATGGAGTCTGAAGGGTGCTCAGGCTTGCGTGCTAGGGTTAGCTGGACCAGGGTGTTCATCTCTGGTCTGTACATCATTAGCAGCATGGCCCTGGGGGAAGTGCTGGCACCAGTTAGAGCAGTGATGGCGAACCTATGACACACGTGTCAGAGGTGACACGTGAACTCATTTTTTTGGTTGATTTTCTTTGTTAAATGGCATTTAAATATATAAAATAAATATCAAAAATATAAATCTTTGTTTTACTGTGGTTACAAATATAAAAAAAAAATTTCTATCTGTGACATGGCACCAGAGTTAAGTTAGGGTTTTTCAAAATGCTGACACGCTGAGCTCTAAAGGTTCTCCATCACTGAGTTAGAGTCTTGGAGGAAAATAGATGGCACTCTAAATTGGGTCATTTGGGGGAAATTTTGCCATTTAAAAAGGTGTGTCCAGTATTTGAGAAAAAAAAAAAGACAACAGAAGATACTGCTGTATGTCAAGGCTAGTGACAACAGGAAGCTGTTACTATCCCTATGACCTAAGGGACAAGGAGAGGGATCTGTTAGCAGAACGGAGAGACAAGGCGATTATAAGGAGAGGGCCACTTGGCAGGCACGTTGGCTGCAGGAAAAGGGCCATAGCTGAGGCAGCCAAGCAGGGAGGGGGAGGTGGAAGTACTGGAACCTCACTCTCTTTGGCCTCCCATCACATGCAGGTGCCTCCCATTGAGCCGACAAAAGCTAGAGGACAAGGGAGCCTGCTGCCCTTCTAGTGCACAGAGCGATGCTAGCAAAGAGAGGTGAAGACTAGACGTGTGTGGAGAAAGGCACTGGCATCATGCTTAAGTCTTTTCATAAGATTGCTATGGGGGTTAAAAACGATAAAGTATGTGAAGTGTTTGGCACTTAACAGATGCTCAGTACAATGAGCTCCCCTGTCTCCTCTCACGCAAATCATTGAAAACTCAGACTTCTTTCACCCTTTAAAAATACTTAGATGTGTGCTATCTATAAGTGACTTACATTGCCAAGTACAATGCAATAAGTAAGACATGACATACTAGGATTCTTTTTTAAAAAGAAATATTTTTGACTAAAAAGAAATAATGCTTTGAATTAATAGCTTTGTTTCATAAATGAGCTATCCAAATATGTCATATTTGCAGTGCAAGGCAATAAATTAATTATTTATAGCTAGCCAAACTGCTTGGCAGCAAAGTCTACCATATGAACTAGTGGCCCATCTTAAAAAGCAGTTCCATGACTACTGATCAGCCAGCTAGTTTAGCTTGCTAATGCAGTAGCATTCGGGAAGTCATGGAACAGTTGGCAGGCTACATAAATCAGTGACCGGGCTGCCAGTCATGACAACATTTAAGTCTCCTGCATATTTTACAAAACAAAGCTCTGAGATATTAAACTGTAACTTCAAAGTTTTAGAGGCACTTTATGGATCAGTCCTTGCCTATCTACCATGACACAATGAATGCCAACAGCACTGCAATGCCACTGAACCAAACAGAAAGGAAGGTCTCCAACAGGCATCCTTATTTCCTAGAAACCACAGTGGGAGCCACATTTAGGAGGGAGGATGTCAACAGAGAAGAGGAAGAGTGAGGTATTTGCAGCGCAAATACGATAGAAGCTGTAATTCTTTTTTTATCTTAACTTTAAAACATCAATGGCATAATGTAGTGCTGGAATAATATTGTACTTAATTAGTTTACTTGACTGGGTGCAATGCCACTTTAACACGTATTATAATCAGCAGGGGAAAATGCTGTTTTGGAGAAAATATTCATCTTCTAAGATGCTGGTAATTTTGGACTTATTTCCCTAATTAAAGAACTTCTATTAGCTCCAGGGAACTGAAATGGTTTTCTTTTTAGAGGGAAATATCTACAAATTCCTTAATTGATATAAATCAAAATATGTAGTTAATAACTAAAGCAATTATCCAATAACTAAACATATTTAAATCCTGAGCTAAAAACATTTAAATCACCTTTTGAAAAACAGCAAACCTTTAGTATCTCAGTCTCTAATCGTACAGAGTGACAGAAAACCTCAAAGCAACATGTCAGCATCAATGAAATCTTTTTTGGGCCCATTGAAAAGCAAGGAAGAAGACCGTTTCCTTGTACAACGTGTGTTTCTGTCCATGTGGTTTGCAAAGCACTTCCTGGATGTGTAAAAACCAATATTTACATATCATTGATGGCAACAGATGTGATTTTTCATATTTTCCTTTTACAACTTTTTAACTCTTTATAACGTTTTTCTTTTTAAATTTTAAATACTATACTTCTTACTAAGAAAAGAAAGCTCGAATTGCGGGACAACTTCTACAAAGAAAGAGGATATGCATTTAAATGACATAAACATAATGTCTGCTTCAGCACTAGTCCCAAACTTTGGCACTTGTTTTAGAGCAAAAATTTTCAATTTTTAGAGTTCCAGATTCCTCATGTATAAAACACAGTATGTGACTAGAAGATGACTAAGAAGTTTTCAGCCTCAGAATTCCATAAAATTTGTAAGATAACATTATTTTTGGTTTTCTCCCCCAAAGAGCCAATTTCTATGGTCATCTTGTAAAGGAAGGCCACCCCATTGATCATAGATCTTACAGATCCAAGAAGATTTGCCAGGATTCTTCCCCCATGAAAGTTTCTTTGTTTGAGAGCCATGGTGAAAGACCTGGAGCATGTCACATCAGTTTCCCAGAGAAGAATTAGTCATTAAATCTGCAGAGAGTGATAAGGCAGGCTAAAAAGAATCATGTTTTTAATAGTTATTTTCAGAATGCAATTATTTCATTCACTGGTCTGTATCTGTAGCTTTGATGGGTGTTGTTCACTGCTCCTTTCGGCTTTGTAGAGGGGCACTGCAGCCGGCTGGTGTCTTTGGTTTACCTGCTGTGAGCTGCTTGAGCATCCACTCCATGGAGAGCCACATGAGAAGCAAGAACAACCATCTCTCCTAAAGTGTTGCCATTTCTGGGCATGTGTTGTCCAGAGCCACACATGGCGTGAATGTGCCCATTCCACCATGATTAACTACCTGTACCTGTGGTGTTTGACAGATTGGCTTCCTCTGTCAGAAGAAATCTCTGGAAATGACTGGGGGCCAGCAAAGCTTGACTCCATCATTTTCTCCAGTGCCGTCACAGGATGCCTCTCCGCCTTTGAGTACTGTGGGGAATCACATGCACAAGGTTGAGCAGGAGGATGAGCGGAGGGCCTGCCACACTACAGATAGCTATTGACAAGGTATGGAACTTCCAGGAACATCCCTCTGGCCACCCGGTCAGGAGCATGGCCAGGAGCATTCGCTGCTCGTGTTTCCCACTGAGTATGCTCTCCCATCCCTGCCCTGCACCCTCTGTGACTAGGTGAGGTCCATTCAAGAGGGTTCTTCGTTTTAGAATCCTGAGTCTGTCTTTTCATTTAAATCCACAGCCATGGCACAGCCAAAATAAACACAAGCATGTTTTATTGAATGCAAATTTTATTAAAATATTAATTAGTAGCTGACTACTAATATTAGGATTCAATAAATGCTGATTGAATGAAACTCAGAACACTCTCAAAATTATGGAGGACATTGATTCAGTGTCTCTGTCCACCACTCCACACTGTTTCCCTCTTTCAGTCTGTTACCAGATAGTATTTACTGTGTCTAAAAAGAGAAATTTGTGAGCATTTCACTCTTTATAGTTATTAACTCTTGGTTTTACCTTTGACTATGATACCTCATAAGCACAAGAGTCTAAAGAAAACCTACAGAGATGATATATTGAGAACAATTTTCCTCAAGGTAAGTATCACATGGCATCTCACCCAGGCAGGTGCCCAGTCATCTTTCTCTGGATCTTGGCCCATGAACAGGCAGTAGGGATGGCAGGCTCTCTTCTAGAAACTTCGGATAAAAACTCTCCTGAGAAATGACGCTTGTGGAATGCTAACCAAACTACAGAGATTTTGGAATTTAGATATTCATGTACAATGTATGACCAAGAATTTCACAGAAAAATATGGGTATATAGCATGCAAATGAGAAGGTATACAACTACACACATTGTGAATAAATGAAAATCAGAATAAAAAAATAAATTTTAAGAATATATAGTAAATACAAAGATTTGAGAAAAGTAGAGATGGTGCTAATCTGTTGGGATAAGTATTGACAATACTAGTTTCCTGATGCACGAAAATTGTGCAAGAGTAGGTCTTCCTTCTCCCGCTGCCGGCACCGGCTTCCCTCCAACACCCGGGACCGGGCTTCGTTTTGGCGACCAGCAGGCACCCGGGACCCAGTCTTTGCCCCAGCCACCAGCAGGCACCTGGGACCCAGGCTTCCCTCTGGCCCAGGCTTTGTCCAGAAGGACATCCGGTCTAATGTCCAGAAGGTCGTTTGGCTGTCCAGTCTAATTAGCATATTAGGCTTTTAATATTATAGATAATAAAAGGGTAATATGCAAATTAACCAAACAGCAGAACTACCAGTCACTATGATGCACACTAACCACCAGGGGGCAGATGCTCACCACAGGAGCTTCCCCTGGTGGTCAGTGCGCTCCCATAGGGGGAGCACTGCTCAGCAACAACCCAGGCTGACAGCTCGTGAGTGCAGTGGCCCACCTCCATGGCAGCCCTAAGGATGTCCGACTGAGGT